GTTGAGTGTATCCTGCTTGGCTTGATTTCTTGGACATGGTCCGTGATGTATAATACTACTGGAAGTATATGTAGTAGGGCCCTGCAGGACTGTAAGCCTTGTGGGAAGTGCCTGACTGGTATGTTAAATTTGTATTAACTAGCTTTTTTTAAGAAATAGAATTGAAGTTCCTGAAGAAAGGGGAATGAAATCCTGTGGCTGGAGAGTGATCGTTGGTATATAAATTAGTGATTCACCCTTATAGTTTACATACTTTTAACCCAAAGGATAAAAAGGTAGCAAGCACTGTCATCTAGAAATACCTCATGTATGTGTAGTTTTCTTTCCCCTGTCTCTTGAAGTACTGTGCCACAATGGTATGCAAAACACACAAGAGACTCTAGATTTCTTAGAGTGCGAAGTTTCAGTAGTTGCAATTAATTATGGCATCTGTGTAATAGAAAACACCATGATTATAAATGCAAACCATTTGTAATTATATTGCCTCATTTCACTGCTTATTCTCAGTTAAGAGATGAATGAATTTGGAAAATTCATTCATCAACTCTTGTTTGTGAGGATCGGAAAAGTATTATAAACAATTGCAGTCACTCCCAACAAAATAACTTCCAAGTGGCTGAGTTTTAAAACATGGCATTTGAAGAGTTCTTATTGAGGTATTCATGAAAAAAGACCTTGGTCAGCTAAATAATTGAAAAATCATGTCCAATCACATCCAAGAGATAGCTGCTAGAGTTGGGTTATGTAATTATTTTAAATGGAGACTGATGACGTATTACATCTTTTCTGACATGACAGTGCACCTTCTGACAGACAATGGATCAGATTCTTGAGGATTTTTTGTAAGTGCTTACTGAAGCATCTCCATTCAGGAGTGTACAAGAAGAACAGGGTGGCATTGTGACCCATACTTATACATCAGTCACAGGTTGTTTAAGAGTTTGCTGTGCTTCAGTCAAGAGAACCATGAAAAACAAAACTATAAATAATTTACATGTAATGGCTTAAAATATGGCATGTGCTCTAGGAATTGGATATGAGTAATGAGTAGATGGCATACTATATATTGATTAATATGAACTAATATGAAAGTGCCCCTTTCTTCTAGACACATTAAAAATACGATATGGATGCATGTGTAGTATATAAACACCACATAAAATAATATAAACTTAGAGACAAAGGAACTCACATAAAAGAAAGGAAGCAGCAATAAGCATATATTTCAGAAGAGTCTCCCTGTGGCACTCACTGCAGGGAACTATTGGAATTGTTTGCTATTAAGGATCTCTCTAAGCAAACAACTTGCACAAAGAAAATACCTGATTTTCATTACCAGTCTCTACTCCAGATAAAACTCTGAACTGTAAGCCCCTGCAAATTTGCTGTTCATTCACCAGAGGTAACGTTTTTGAACTAATAATTTCATAGAATCATAGAATCAATGAGTCGGAAGGGACCTAGACAGATCAACGAGTCCAACCCCTGCCATGGGCAGGAAGGAGCACTGGGGGTGTCAGGGGTCATAAGACCCCAGCCAGGTGCCTGTCCAGTCTCCTCTTGAAGATTTCCAGGGAAGGTGAGAGCACCACCTCTCTGGGAAGCCTATTCCAGGCTCTGGCCACCCTTACAGTGAAGTAGTTCTTCCTAATATCTAACCTAAACCTATCCTCCCTCAGCTTGTGGCCATTGTTCCTGGTGACTCCAAGGGGGGCCCTGGTGAACAGACTTTCCCCGAGTCCCTGCTGGTGGCCCCTGATAAGGTTGTAGGCAGCCACAAGATCCCCCCTCAGTCTCCTCTTGCGGAGACTGAAGAGATTCAG